AACCACGTTGGCTACTTGAGTGGGAATTGCTTCAGTGCCTGGAGGATTTTGGTTTCCTTCAGCAAGAACTTCTTCACCCTCAGCTTCTGGGATCTCTACATTTTCCCTCTCTGTCTCAGTTTCGACGCCAGGGATACCTTCCTCCTCAGTCTCTTGCACTTCGACCAGCGGAATCCTAATCTCCTCTTGGTTTCCTTCAGCTTCTTCTTTATCAGCTTCTTCTATGGTTTCGTGTTGGGGTTCAGAAGTCTGATTTACTTCGTCAGATGAACTCATAAAAGAGCCTTTCGCTAAAGAGGGTCTGTAAGTAGGATTCCCATCACTATTTAAGCAAGTGGTTGAATCCTCGACATGAGTAGGAATTCGTGTCGAAGTGCCAGCAGTGTCCTGGAAAATGGAAAGAATTTATTGCTTGTAGAATCATCACAAAGTAAAAGAGAGTGAAAGAAGTAAATAATAAGCAGTCGAAGAAATACCTGGACTGAGATTTCAGCACCAGGACTAGAGTTATCACTTTCGCTGGGATTGTTTAACCTAGCGATTACCTCCTATTCAGTAGGTTCATTGATGATTACAGGAGGAGGCCTCCCAGCTGTAGTTTTAATCCTGATTTTTGGACGAGTTTCGACGGCAAGAACTGGTTTTTTCAATCTTCGTCTCTGCAAAGGAACAAGAGGAGACTCCTCTTCTTCATCGCTAGAGATTTGGATTTCCTGAACCTTCCGCTTTTTGGGGGTTAGTTTCTGAGCATATAGAAAACCAAGTCGAGAAGATCAATAACTATGTCAAATAAAACTAAGGGTAAAAGGGAAAGGTAAGTACCTTAGGAGAGGGGTTGATAGCAGAATCTCCCCATTTTGTACTCTCAGCGGTTTTCTTCGAGGTAACCCTTTTGACATCTAAACAGAAGGCAAAACATCTATAGTTAATTAGGTGTTGAAAAACAAATCTAAGACGAAGGGATGGAAAAAGGGATACCTTTCTTGACTCTGTCGAGAACCAGCTTGAATGCCTCACGTAGATGGTGGGCGAAGTCCTTCTCATTGAAGAACTCTTCGTCATAGTACTGTTTCCACCACGCCTCGAAAGTGACGGAACTCAGAAAATGAAGGTTAAAGTCGAACAGGGTCAGTATAGTTCGACCAGAATACCTACCAATATGCTTGGTAGCGGCATCCTCTGAGTAATCTGCATTGTAAAAAGTAGCAGCTTCTCTCGAGGGTAAATAGGCGAAGGAAGCGATTGAGCAATGCCAAACTGTCGAGAGACAAGATTTGGTTGATAAGCAATTAAGCTCAATTGGTTCTTCGAGCTCTTAAATCTTAGGGGCATGATCCTGGGGCAGAGAAACGATTCCCACATGCTCACAAACTCATCAGTCACGTCATCCTCTTCATTCGAAGGATATGGTCTAGTGAACCATTCCGGGCCAACTTTTCGACTGGCAAAGGGAGCCATAGTCGAAACAAAGCTCTTTCGCTCTGCAAACATCATTACGAAGCTTGTAAAGGCCTTTTGAAACTGTTGGCCTTCATCAGTGGGAGTTAGCAATGCCAACCTGGTGCCTTCGACTCTCCTGTTCAAGATTTCAGGAGCTTCTTCGTTAATCTTGTTCTTTTGGGGGAGGAAGGATTCGAAGGTGGCGTTAAGCCACAGTTGCAGAAGCCAAAAGGGACCAGATAGCAGCAAGCTTCCCCTGTCTCCTAGAACCTTAAGTTGAGTCACACCATTACTGATGGACTCATATAAGTTGGCTAGAATCAATTCGGCCAAGCAAAGAGGGTATTTGTGATGGAGTTGCGTTGCAAGGGTCAACATCTTTTTCGTCACCTGCAGCGATTTAGTACAGAAAACAAATCGAGACAGCCACATGGCCAAGAAGGCTATGTGCTCCACCTCCGACACGGTATTTGAGGCTTTGTCATGAAAGTGGTTTATGAAGGTAGTATAAGTGGGTTTTATAGCAGCAAACCCAATAGGATCCTCAGACAAGTCTCCAGGGTCGAAATAGTCACCAGTGGGTCGAAGACCAGTGATGGCTGCTATGTCGAATAACGTAGGGGTCATCATCCCACAAGGAAGATGAAAAGTGAAATGTGCACAATCCCAAAAGTACAATGAAGATATCAGCATAAGAGGACAGTAAGGCAATCCTGTCTTCGACAACATCACTAAGTCGTAAATGCCCATCTCCTTCCAGACAGAAGCTTGCACCCTCTCCATTTTATTCAACCAGACGGAATATTCATAAGAAAGGTTAGGGCTTGATCGAAAGATTCGATTCCCTTTGTTCATGAACTGGAGGTTGATATCATCAGTAGTTTGAGGATGTTGCTGGTTAGCCGGTGTAGCGTCTTCAGGGTCTGCCCTAGGTTTTTTGGCGCAACCTATGGATCTAAGCCTTGGGTGAGTTGGAAAGAAGGTGCGGTTTTTCAAGGGGTTTTTGACGCATGTAGACAATGGGCCAGATATAGCGTACATTTTTTCATCATATCTCATGGGAATGAGAAGCTGAGAATCATATTCTTCTCGCCATTCTTTTGTCATAGGTTCAACAATGTACCTGTTGGTCGAGGAAGAAGGAGGGTTGGTGGAAAAGATCTCTGGTGGTTTCTGAACAGCGTTAGCGTTTTTTGGTTGAGGATTATTTGGAGCATTAGAGAGAAAGGCCATTGTTAAAGATTTAAGAGAAAGAGCGAAGGTGACAGTACAATGTTGGGAGAATGCAAGGGATTTGGAAAAGCTGGAAATGATAAAAGTTCCAAATAGAAAAGCTTGGAAGTATTTATAGCCTTCAGAAGTGGGAGATGTCTCGTCAAGGGCATTTAATGTTTCGCAGGTAGTGGGGCACGTGGCAAGGCGTGAAACGGTTACCGTGCAGGCATTGGGAAACGTTGGGACATGCTTGCCTAGATTATAGGAATATGGTCATCATGGCAAGCATGGTAACGGCAGTTTTAAAGAGATATCTTGGAGAAAAGTAATGATGGTTTTACCAAGTATAGCAGCTGTTGGAAGGCGAAAAGCACACGACAAAAACTTGGTGGACAACTGGGAAAACAGGTGTCGAATGGGAAGTTCAAAGAATGGCTATTTCTTTGAGCATCGAAATAGACATTCTTGGGGGGGCAATTTGTTGGCTCCCAAATTCGACACTTACTGTATTTGGTCTTTTGGACCAAACAACTGGAATGAACTAAACCAAGAGGTATGATTCGACACATGATATAACTTAGGAAAAATGATCTAAGTTATGATAAGAGTCTTCGACCAAGGGTCCATTCGACTGAAGCAGATTTAGGTTGTTCGACTGAAGGAAAGTGTTCGCGCCTTGGCACATGGGACGAAGATCATTTGAAATTTGAATTATTGGAGGGAAGGGTGGTTTTTCATCAGCGTCTAAGGGAAGGAAATGTGGCAAAAAACTATGGGTCGAGAGGCATGCAGAAGACACTTGTCTTCATCCTAGCGCAGAATGTCCCCTCGACGGTTACCTACTTTTAGTATAAATTAAGAAGCTTGTGTAATTTTTAAAGGTGTTCAACCTATTGTACAAAATATCTCAAATATTATCCAAGTAACTATTGCGTGAGAAAGGGTAAAAGCTGAGCAATGTACGTTAGAAACACCTTTTTTACTTAATGAAAGTCTCTTTACATTACTTTACCATTATCCTGCAAAGTTATCCTTTTACTTCTTTTACTTGTATTTTTATGTTTTTGCTTACTTTTCAACAATCTCAAACATCCTTTCTCTGGGTCGAACGTGCGTTCTTCCTTCTTACGCATTTCACATAAAGATTAGCATATGTTCTGGGATTAATTTGGTCGATCCCGTAAGTAAACCAAAAACCTTACCTTTTTGGAGATCAACGGTTGTTTACCAAAAACAACGGTAAACAGAGCATGCGTCTTTGGAAAGAGATCAGAGCTCTGATCATAATAATCACGACTTCGTTTTCATATGTGTGTTGCAATAAGCATGAATTTCCTCCCATACATGTCATGAATGACGAAGAAGCACAAAGCGAGGGAGAAGAGCATCAGAAATGGTGGAAAGAAGCCACGCAGTAACACATCTTGTTCTTCCTGGTGACATAAGCAGGATTTTTAGTTTGCGATTCACAATCATCAATCGACAAGAATCGCTCAGGGATCATTGTGAAATTACATATTTCACCATTCTCGTGCCTCAAAGGACACCTTCAACTTGTTAAAGCCATTGACATTAATTCGATTCGTCTAATTTTATAGAGATTTTCTATTTGAAGGTAATCACATCAACAAAAGAGACTTGTGCGTGAGCAGAGTTTGCATTCGAATATGGCGAAGATTCCACCATGGAAGCTCAAGACTGAACCACGCAAGTGAGTTCAAAAAAAGAAGACTCTAGATACCATGTTAGAAGATGAAATCCATAGCAAGAGAAGAAAAAATAGAAAAAGAGTAAAGTTTGCATTGATTTGATCTAAGACAGTTGAAGGCGTATATATAAGTAGCTGTGTAACCTATCCTATAACAGAATTCAATACCCAACTGAATTCTGTTTAGCAATGTTACTCTATTACAAACTGATCCCTAGAATATATCTAATAAATTATTACCATCATTATGGAGTAAAAACAATAATAGTTACATTAATACATTGACAATAATATTCTCCCATAATTCAGACAAAAAAAAATGTGGTCTCATCATGGTAAGAAATTGATATTGAGTAGATGGTTGATGAAATGCATCATAAGTACCCCTTAAGCAAGAAAATTGGTAGAAATCAAGGGATTGGGGAGAAATTACTTTTATATAGATATAGAAACCTGTTATTACAAACCAATGAAAACATTAATATTCCCAGGACATTCCTCGAGCAATCGAATTACTCGGTATCACTCAGTATCTTGCACTAACTATACTTACGACACACATCTTTCTTCCGCTTCTTCCACTATTTCTTTTCTCAAAATGATGAATCCCAAAAATAAATCAGAGAATAATAAAAGCCTAGAAGGCTGCCCATCCTGAAGCAGCTGTTGACCCAGGAGTGGTTGATGAGGGAAGATTCTTCTGCAAATGCAAACATGAAATATGTTAAGAGATGGTTTATTTTAGACAGTGAGGAAATACAACCCATATTGGGAAATTAAACTGGAAATTCACCAGATCACGGATATGAATAACCAATATAATTGCCTGTTTTAAAGATCAGAACAGAAACTTTATGTAGGAATCTAGATGGATAACCAGGATCGAAAACTAAAGTTCAATAAACAATACTTCCGGATTTATTATATTATACTATTTATATGCATAGACAAAGAAATGTAGTTAGTATTGCTATTAATGAGTGTTAACTGTTTAACTTAATTAACAGAGTAAATTGTACGGATGTGCTATTATGCTGCTTTGTAAAAAAGGTAACAAGAACTTGGCAACAAAGAAAATATAAAGGTAAATTAGTTCCAAACTAATTATCAAAATTAAATTATATCAGAATAACTTTCAAACTGCCTAAAAGAAATGATGTTGCTATCCATCTGTTCAATAATTTTGCTAATAGGAAAAGCTCTAAGGAATGAGCAGGAGCAGCATACCTGTAATTGAGAAAGATCGGATAGTGAATCAGTAGCACTATGTCTCACGCCTTCGTGTGTCCCTTTAACACTAGACCCGGAAGTGGTAGAAGCAATCCGGGCAGCAACAGGATCATTTGGCGGCAGTGGAAGAGCAGATCTGATTTTCCCCGCACCACTTGGTGGGGGAGCAAGGGTTAGTACTTTCGGCTTGGGTGTTGCTACATGAACACCCGTTAAGCCAGCAGCGGAAAGCATGCCAGCTCCACCAGCAGCCTTATGTTTCACATTAATCTTGATGGTTTCCCCCTCCTACAGGCCAATTGACAAATATTCAAATATAGGAAAAGCCAGGATTCGGATTCTTATGGAGAAATATAAAAACATTGTTAAGACCAAGTAAATTCATCGAAATTTTTTGGCGATCCACTTATCCACAACATTGAACCATGCTTCATTGACTCTAGCTCAACAACTAAGACTTATTAAAAGTATACACTAACTACATCTATTATTATCAATGCAAACTAAAAAAACTAACCACACTAGGATTTTGATAAGAGTGTATTTTTCAACTGAAAATTGGAAACAAATCATCATGATAATAAATTATAGGGCAACTACACAATCCGAAGAGAATTAGATTGATTACAGAAACTGGTTATAGAAAAGACCTTGAGCCTATGATTTACAGCAGGGTGAATGTCGATCTGAGAGTCTTCTCCGGCATCGGCGTTACCGGACTCCTTATCATGCTCTCGCCGGACATACTTTTCATGATCAGATAGCGCAACATTGAAATCAAAAGCTTCGTTCCTCTCCGTGAACCCTAATCCAATGAATGCGTGCTTACCTTGACCATCTTCGATCTTGAGGACGAAGTAACGAGACGAGTCGAGAACCGGTTCAACAGAACCCTCACGCTGACCGGGGAAGACGAAGCACGCGGCGAAGAGATCGCCGGAGTTTGGATCTTCTAACCGGATTTCACATCGGTCCCGGCGTGATACTACCCGGAGCCGTCCCGACCAGATCTTGTCGGATTGAAGCCACTCGCCGCACTTGTAGCCGCCGGAGGTTGTGCGCGGCGGGATCTTGTAGACGGCGACTTCGCGTACCACCAGTAGCGTGTGCTCGAAAGCTTCTTCCTCTTCCTCTAACGACATCGTTTTGGTTGCGTTTGAGTTTGAATTGAGTTGGAGTTAAATGCGAATGAATTTGAGAGACGCGTTTGTAGTTGTTGTTTAATTTGTAAATTGAAGATTGGTGTGGGGTGTGGGGTGTGGAGTCTTTCTCAACTCTGTCTCAGAGAAAACACCAAGGTCAACTGTTTTGGGAGATAGATTAGATGTACTAACAATTATCACGTTACGAATATGCTGCTCTTAGCTCCTCCATCTTCTTACTTTTCATATCTAACTTCTAATGCTTTTTCTTTAAGTCGCAAAAACCTCGTTAAAAAAAAGGAAAAATGTTATTTTGACACCAACTAATTAGGACACCAACTAATTAGTTACTGTGTTCCCATAAATAAATATAATTATTGTAATTTAATATGTTTTGAATTGGATTTGCGCTTAGTCAGTCGTCGGGCAAGGTCCAGTCTAATATTGTAAGAGGTTCAATAACTGATCATGGACTAGGCCTGCGTATGGTCTCCTGTCGGGCAAGTCCATCCAAGTACTACTTCAAAGAGGATTCACTATGGTGACCTGAATTGCTATAATCGTTGGGGAACATCTCCCTCAAGAGCACGTCGAGGACGTCTCCCCCACGCGCACGTCGGGGACATCTCCTCCACGAGCACGTCGAGAACGTCTCCTCCACGTGTCCATCAAGAGAACGTGGCCAACGGTCCTCTCAATATTGCAAAGTCATCTTGCTCCCGAAAAGAACATGTCTTCACCTCCGAGAATCGTTAAGCAGATGAACCAAGATAGAGACCACGAACTGGTCTCCTCTATCCACGTAGGATCTTGGCAGTCTCCATTTTGGGTCTGGGTATCTAGCTCAATATGGAGACTTTGGCCCAGCGTTGGAGGCTATAAATACCCTCTTTCACTAGAGGGTCAGGTACATTATTCTCTATAATCTTTCCTACTTGTATTTTGCTCTGAACCTCACTTTAACATCGGAGTGTCTTGCATGTACCCCTCTCATTCACTTCAACAACCGCAAAAGTCAAGTGTTGCCGACCACTGAAGATTCTTTCTGATCAGGTACGTTCAATGGCACCGTCTGTGGGACGCTTGCTTCCCCGTCTTCTTCTAACTCAAGACCAAAGCAAACTCTTTCAACCTTATGATCATCATGGCCAGCCAAAACAATAACAATAACAACGGTGACGACACTGTCCACTTCGCCGACGTTGGCAACCTCAACAACAATAATGAGAAGGTCATTCACGAACAACCTGACAGCAGAGACGGAAGGACTGCTTCCTCCTCCACCTGTGAGCATCCTCTTGACAACCCTCACTGCCAGGTCGAGGAGCATGCGGTGTACCAGGAAATCCCAGTGCCCGCCAATGCTGATCCCACCACGACGGCCCAGTTCGCGGAAATTAACCAGACTAACTACCTGATCTTCGCGCGGGGCAAACGAATCAGAATGTTGGAGAAAACCCTTCAATCACGCTCCCCCAAAAAGCACCGAAGACATGACTCACACAGCCCGTCCCCGTGACAGCGTGATGCATGTTCACCGTAACACCCTTTAATTTAATTAATTATTTAATTAAATTATTTTTGGATTATTTGTCGGAAAGTTGTGAGATGTTGAGAATTGTTGGTATAGGTTGTTAGATTATTATTAATTAATTAATTAGTTGATTAATAATAATAATATTGTTGGATTTAATGGAACAATTGTGTTGGGCTTATGTTATTGGTTGGAAGAAGTAATGTGGAGGTGTGTAAGTTAGGCCCAATAGAATTGATGGTATAAGGTTAAGCTGATACATGGATTTGATTTAGTTGGTGATTAAGGGTTTGTGCGCTGACTATAAGAGCTGCATGGAGGAAGAAGCAAGTTGCCCGGTGTCGAGCAGAGAAAAGTAAGGGGTTACAGCTAGAGCTTTGGTTGAGCAAACTTTAATCCAGGTAAGGGTGGGGTTCTGACCTTATAATGGGATTTATAATGTGTATTATGTGGGAATTGGTTGTTTATATGACTGTGTGCATTGATGTTTCTGGATTTGTTATCGAAGTTGCCCGTTTTTCTATGCTGTGGTCGTTATGGAGTCACCGTATGATTGTATCGCATGATTAGTGAACCTATTATTGAAGTTGGCCGCTAGCCGTGTTGTGGATGTTTTGAGTTGTCTATATGATTGCCCGATATAATCGATGGATAGGTTAGGGTAGTTTATCACTCGTTGTTATGGTCGTTATGAAGCTGTGGTATTCCGGGCGGTTGGCAGGAATTTAGTAAATTATTGTTGTGGTCGTTTTAGGAAGGTTTCTACGTAACTGTCTTGTATAATTAATGAATTTGTTGATAGGAAATATAGTTGTCTGTTGTTGTGTTGTTCCGAGCAGTTGGTCGGAAATTATGGATTGTATTGATATGGACATTAAGACGTTGTATTGTTCCATGTTGTTGGCCGGAACTAGTGGTCGAGGAGGATGCTGATGGTGTTAGGTGCCAAGCGACATTTAGGCTGCGAGGTGTGTCATAGAATATATGTGTTGGATGTCGAGCGGAATTAGCTGCGAGGCGCACCAAGGAGCATGGTATTGTTGTCGAGCGGAACGAAGTTGCAGGTTGTGCCGAGGAGCACATTATTGTTGTCGAGCTGCACGAAGTTGCAGGCTGTGTCGAGGAGCGCAAATTAGTTGTATTCATGTCTAGGTTATTGTGCATGTCGAAGGGCACATAGTCTCCCTATCCCTATTGCCAGTGTATGTTGTTTTGATCGATATCAGTGTTGTGTAAGTTTTTTTGAGTTGAGAAATTATAGGTTAATGATTTATGTTGAAATGCCTCTAATTATGGGAAGATATTAAGTTGTAGGCTTATGGCCAACGTTGATTTATTTTGAATTGTTGTTGAAGTTGTAGGCTTATGACCAACGTTGATTTATGCTGAATTGTTGTTGAAGTTGTAGGCTTATGGCCAACATTGATTTATGTTGAATTGTTGTTGAAGTTGTAGGCTTATGGACAACACTGATTTATGTTGAGTTGTTGTTTGTTGTTGTTGTTTCTACATTCATGTTGTGTCGCATACATCGCATATCAAGTTGGAGCTGATGCTCGTTATGTTGGCCTAAATTGGTAAAATATTAAGTTAAAGGCTTATGCCTTGTTGATGCCTCTATTTATTGGCAAATTTTTAAGTTGGGAGTTCTGCTCCATTGGTACCACATCCATTTGCATAAATACAAGTTGCATTCTGAGTTGTTGTATGGTTGACCTGATTATGCTTATATTGGTAAAAATACGAGAAGTGGTGAATATGTATGAACTGATTCTAATGTTTTATTTATCACAAGTTATATTATATTGTTCATTATATCACCCCTTCTGTTTGAATGTTAGCCATATGTTGGTAACATGCAGGTAATCCAGAGTGAAGGCGGTTTACCTTCAGTAGTTTGAGTCAGTGTCATTGCTCTGATACGTAACACTCGGGGGGATGAGCGTTTGTCATTTCATTGTTGTTATTATTTCAGTTGATTGAACTTTAAGTTATTGTTCGTTAAATGCTTGCTATTTGAAGTTGTTTCAGTTGGACAAAGATGATATATTCTTTTAGGTTGAATATTTGACTTTGCTACGTAGTTATGAAATTTGTTAGTTTTAGAGATTAATTTATGTTTTCGTTGGTTCATCCAAGTTTAATGTGTTATGTATCTGTAATGAATGCAGTTGTTTTAAGTTGAATTTGTAGCATCCTGGTCCGGTTGTCGAATTTTATAACTCTGATTTTTATAATAATTGTCAGGTAGAATTGGGGTGTTACAAAAGTGGTATCAGAGCAGGTCGGTATGTCCGGCCAAGTTGTCTAATATTGTTTTTCCCTTAGTGCGCGAAAAGTGTGTGGAACATTGTCAGTGTTTTTTGCTTTTCTAATCGATTGTATGCAGGGGTTGGTTTGAAGATAAGTGGGGGAGAAGCTTTGCTTCTCGGATGTGTTTCGGTTGTAAGATGTTGGTTTAGTATGCTGTTGTTTACTACAGTGCAAGCATTGTTGAAGTCTTTTTATTTCCCGAATCTGAAAGTGACATGGATTAAAGATTTTGTTTGTTAATCAAGTTGGAACATCTTGAGGGAGGATGATCAGATATTGTTGATGTTTACTTCTCGAAGGACGAGGAGCGGTGTAATGGTTGTTGATATACGAGTAGAGTGTAAATCCCTGATGTTTCTGAAGGTGATTGTTAATTAACAAGGATAAGTTTTAGAAGATGGAATTTAGAAAGTTGTGACGTTTCAGCGTTGCTGATGGATTGTGAAGTTGTTGGTTGAGTAGCCCTTGTGTAAGATGTCGATGTTTGAACGGTGATAGAGTGACAAATTATTGTAGACCCTGTCGTGGGATCCTTGTGAGTGATTGTTGAAGTTGTTGGAATGTTTTAAATCGCGAGTCAGAGTCGGAAATGCGAGGCGATGAGTACGATTTCAAGAAATAATAATGGTAAGTGTTGGTATTGGTACAAAGAAATTTTGTAAAGATGTTATCTTGAGGTGTGTATTAGTATGTCGCTGCATGATGTCAGTGTTCGCATTTTCGGATAACTTTGGAAATTCATATCTTGTGTTCCGAGTATCGGATTGGTGTTCCATTTGAACCTATGAGGATATCCTATGAAAGTGTTTTCAAATATGGTCGATGCATTCTCATATGGAGGAACTCTAAAGCCGTTTACGGAACTAGAGGCTTTTTGGGTATAAATGATTATTATTGCAGTTGTTCTAGACGAGGTCAAGCATAATATGTTATTGGCGAATAAGTTGAGAAATGAGATCTTCGCATGAAAAGTATAGTCGTTCATCATTTCAAGTATGGTATGTTTCATGTGAAGAAAGTTTTATAGAACTAAAGAAAATATTGACGACTGCTCCGGTATTGGTTTTGCCTAATCCGTGTGAGTCATTTGTAGTGTATTATGAATGCGTCTAAGATGGGACTTAGTGGTGTGTTAATGCTGAATGGACAATTG